TTCTCAATTCTGGGAGATATTTTGGAATGTGTAGCAGCATAAGAGCTGGCCAGTAGGGATCACGGTGAGGTTATATAATCTTGATGAAGAGTTTTGGCCTTAGCTAGAAATACTGTTCGAGGGCTAGGTGTAGTTAGCAAGGCAGCTTGGGTTATCTACAGTGGAAACAAAAAGACACAAAATATATCCCCAAATTTACCACACATCCCTCTCTTTACAACTATATCCCTGATTCAGTCACCACCATTTCTTTCCTGGATTCCTACAATAGACTCCTAACCGGTTTCCCTGCTTTCATTCTTACCCCTGGACAATCCAGCATTCACACAGCAGTTACTGAGGAAAGAATGAACGCTTTAATGAGGGCATTCCAGGAGCCAGACAGTGTTCTAAGTCATTGACCTGTGTCATTGCTCTTAATCATCATAACAACTCCATGAGGTAAGTACTTTCTGAAGCTCAAGTCAGATCATGCCACTCCCAGGGTTTAAAACCTCTGGAGCAGTGGTTCTCAACCTTCCTAATGCCGCGACCCTTTAATACAGTTCCTCATGTTGTGGTGACCCCCAATTTCATTGTTACAAATTGAACATAATTAAAGCATAGTGATTACTCACAAAAACAATATGTAATTATATATGTGTTTTCCGATGGTCTTAGGCGACCCCTGTGAAAGGGTCGTTCGACCCCCAAAGGGGTCGCAACCCACAGGTTGAGAACCGCTGCTCTAGTGGATCCCCATTTTGCTAAAAATAATACTTGGGTTCCTTCCTGTGGCCCAGAAGACCCTACCAGATGGGCTGCAACTCCACTCCCTACCTTGATTATTATGAGGCCCCTCCCATGATCACACAACGCCCCTCCGGCCTAGCCCTTTCCACATCAGGGCCTTTGCACTTGCTAGTTCTGCTTGAATTCCCCTTTCCTCAATCTTGTTATGGCTGCTCTTCATCACTCAAGTCTCTGACTCAACCATGTATGGTTAGGACTTCTTCCCTAGCCATACAAACAAATCAGTCTTACTAATTACCCTCTTCCACAGTACTAATTTTCCTACAGCACTTACCAACACCTGGCTTAGTTCACTTATCTCGTTGATATGTTTATTGTGTGCTTCGTCCCCTTAGAATATAAGCTGCTTGAGAGAAGTACAGCAGGTCCTCAGATAATGTTTCATTATAGCATTGATGACATGCCTAGGAAGTTAACTCTTGTTTATGCCAATTAGCCTAAGGTAAAATTGGTTTGGTTATATGCCATGTTGCTTGAGGTCACAGAAACTATCAAAATGGTAAGTGAGAACTTACTATACTTGTTTGTCGAAAGCTGGAATAGACTCTGGTGCCTAACTGGTGCTGAATCAATTCCCTCTGGTCTTACTTTGAAAGTCCCATTTGCCAGGTTGTCTTTTTATTATGTTGCTTTATTGGTAAAATAGGAAGGATGTCATATAATCTCTTCCTTAAGTGCTCATTGAAAAGAATTGGGATGGACAACAAACACCGCGCAGCACCCCTGAAAGTGTTCTGTGTTGCAATGGGACAGATTTGTTTTGGGTTCTCCGTGTATGATTGTCTGCAGTGGTATCACTTGTTAAAAAGATCTTCTTAACACTCCTTCAAACAGTTCTAGCAATTAAAGAAAGATGCCTATAAGTCTCACTTTACATCCCCCAAAACTGAGAATAAAGTGATTTGCCTGAGGGTCGGAAGGTCACTTTAGCAAACTTAAGACATTCTCCCAAGGGTTTTTAATACCCAGATTCGTTTTTATTTCCCAAATAGAATTCCATATCAAATCCTCAGATTCTGAGGAAGAGGGTGAAATTGGCCCCACATCCTTGGATAGCATAATCCTTAGATATTTACTGAAAACTCGACTGGGATTGGGCACCAAGTTGCCACTGCAGTGAATGGAGAAGGGTGTCCAGGAGGAAGAGCAAGGGAAGCTCCTGAACGTGCCGGGTGGGCTCTGTGCTGAGCGCGGGCCTTCTCTATTTTTGCAGGCCATTAACAGTCGTGCAAATGGGAACTGTTATCTTTACAGTCCCCTGGTTCCCCTTGCTGAACCCAACTTCAAAGTCATCCCAGCTTTGGGACCCAGCTTTAGTACTCTTCCCTTTACTAAAATGCTCTCTTTTCGGATCTTCACTTAGCTAACTCCATCTCATCATTCAGGTTTCAGCTCAAATATACCTTCCTCAGAGAGGCTTTCCCTGACTGCCATCTGCAAAGTAGCTTGTCCCCATAATCACTCACTTCCTACTTTATTTTTTTCATTGCACTTTTCACTACCCAACCTTATCTTACTTGTTTACCTATTTTTTCTGTGTTTGTTTCTCTCCATCTTGTTCACTGGGAACAGGGTCTGGCACACAGTAGGCATTCAAATACTTGTTGAATGAACACGGCTCAGGGAGGTTGTCACAACATCATAGAGCTAGAGTGGCGAGGCTGTAATTTGCACCCAGAGCTCTCTTACTGGCTCCAAAGTTCATGCTCCTCACCCTTTACCCCCAGGCCCTCTCCACATCTGGCAGGTAGGTCTTCCTGCCACAGACTTCTCTTTCAAGATTCCCTTTAGCAATGACTTTGGCCAATGCCCTGCTCCGGGGGGAAATAGCACCATAGGAACAACCAGAAAGTGAGCTGAGG